TTTTGCTATAACTCAGATTTATTTTTATTCTGTTACCAAACGACTCATAATTATTTTTTCTCTTTCAGCGCAATGGGCGGTTTACTGAAGACTATCCCAGAAGAGCTGACACATATTGGCAACAATGTCTTTGTGGGGCCTACTCTTTTCAACGCGAAGATCACAGTGCATATTATGCAATACAGCAAGTATGGGAATGCAAACTATCCAACTCGTAAAGGAGTGAATTTAGAGCCTTCGTGTTTAGACATCCTCTCTCAACACAACCCACAGGACCTGTTTACAATGACTTTGCAACTGCCTAAGAATTTTAGTGCCGAATATGATGGTTACCACTTCACATAAAAGCAACTGACAGCGAAAGGAGTGGAGAAAAGTAGTCTCAGTCTTACAATCGCCCAGTGGGAAGAATTGTCTTCAAATTACAGTCGTATCAATGAGATCGTCGCCAATCTCGTCTATGAGTGTATGGACTTTTGTGAAGCCTACGAAAGTGTATTCGAGGAGCCTATTAACGAGGAAAAGCTTCCAGATTCCTTCGACATTTCTTTGGGAACAGCATGCCTCCAATCCATTCTAAAGACATCATTAAAAGAGCTGATCTAAGAACACGGAGATTTAAAGTATCCTAAACTTATAGATTGCGAAGAGCTCGCTATTCATAAAACAGAGATTATCAACTCCTTGGCTCTGAATTTAAACTCTATTATAGCCAGGCAATTTTATGGAAATGTATGGACTGAAGAGCCATATTTACATCTACTTAAACCCGCACATTATATCACAAAAGACTTTTTAAAGTCTGTTTGTCTCAAACATGTACTTGATGAGGTGAAAGAAACATTTTGCCCCACCAATTTAGAAAAATATGGTGCTTATGGTATTGAATTTTATGAATGTTTAGAAAGTAAATAAAATTATTTGTTTATAATGGTCTCTTTATTGTCTCTTAATTAAAAAATAAATATATGTAAAATTAAGGGAACACTATAAATACACACACACATTTGCTTTTTATTCATGTGAAGGATTGTTATAGAAATGAGTGATTGTATATTTAAGAGGAAGCTATAAATAGCGATGAATGTTCACATTTCTATTAGTAAAAATCACTGCTGCACGCATTATGAATCTGAATCAGATGTATCGCGATCCAGCCCTTCCCGCCAGTTTTGGTGGAGTGAGTGCTTTGCATCGTGCTTTAAAAGCCAAAGAAAGTCACAAGGCGATCAAGAAATGGCTTACCACCAAAGATTCTTATACTTTACACAAGCCTATCCAACGACATTTTCGTCGCAATCGCGTCTTTGTCAGAGGCATCGACGCTCAGTTTCAATCTGACTTGGCAGATATGCAGTCTCTTGCCAAACACAACGATGGATATAAATATTTGCTCACATGTATTGATGTGTTTCCCAAATATGCTTGGGCTATTCCACTCAAAGACAAAACTGGTCAGTGTTAAATCAGCTTTCGAACGTATTTTTAGCCAGAGAAAACCAGATGTGTTACAGACTGACAAAGGTAAAGAATATAAAAATAAAATCGTTCAGAATTATCTTAAAAAAGAAAAAGTTCGTTTTTTTTACAACTGAAAACAGTACAGTGAAAGCAAGCATCATCAAACGATTCCACAGAACCCTCAAAAGCAAAATGTGGAAGTACTTCAATGAAATGAATACGTATCGTTATATTGACGTAATAGATAAATTAATTCACAGTTATAATCATACCTGGCATCGCTCTATTCAAACTGAACCAGCGAATGTCAATAAACACAATGAGAAACAAGTGTGGAATCAATTATATAAAGACCTACCTAAACCTTCAACCTAAGTTCAAAGTGGGAGATACAGTGCGCGTTAGCAAATTAAAAATGATTTTTGAAAAAGGCTATGAAAGTAATTGGACGAGAGAAATATTTACAATCCATGAAATCCTTCCTAGAAATCCATCTGTTTATCGACTTAAAGACCTCGCTGAAGAGGTGATTGAAGGTACTTTTTATGAAAAGGAACTGCAAAAAATTTCAGATTCGGGATATTATCCTGTTGAAAAAGTGTTGCGAGAAAGAAAGAGAAACGGTGTAACAGAATACCATGTGAAATTCTTAGGTTATCCGCCAAAATTTAATGCATGGGTAACCGATGTGAAAAAAATATAAAAACTCCACATCATGGAAAAAATCGTCATTTGCCAAGATGTCTTTCTATATGACGTTACCTAGTGATAGCTCTCAGCATTATTTTCCAGGGAATACTATCTCACATTTTATTACTCAGTTGCCTGTACCTATATCTGAACGGGGAATGGGAAGTTGGTCTTTCCGAGATCATTTACCCACACACCTGGTATAATATTAACACAGATAATAATCTCTTTGGCTTTGATTTGGGTGATTCTTCAGGTGTAAAAGAAGTTGCTAGCAGAAGAATACCACCAGGATGTTATGAAAGTGTCCCAGATCTCTTAAAAGCCATGAATTTAGCATCATTTAAAGATAAAATCTCTTTGGAATACGATCGTTCTACAAAAAGAGTGAAAATCGTGACGCAAAATGGAGCCCGATTAATCTTTTATGATTCAGGATTAGCAGGTTTATTAGGCTTCGAACCGCAGATTGTCGAAGGTACTTGGAATAGTGGGGGATTTGCATTCTGCTTATACATTACTTTATGTGTACAGCGACATAGTTTCGCCTCAGATTGTGGGTAACGTGCAAGCTCCTCTCTTAAGAGTCGTGACAGTCACCGGTAAAGATGGCGATACTGTAAATGTACAATACGACAGACCGCATTATGTGCCAATAGCAAGAAATTCATTTAATACGATCGAAGTGGAAATCAGACTGAATTCGGGTACATTCGTTCCTTTTGAGAGGGGCAAGTTAATTCTTGTACTACATTTCCGAAGGCGACAAGTGCTATAAATATGACAACAGAGAAGCAAAAGCATTATTTTCAAAAAAGACATCAAGATGCTCGTCCCGTATGAGTGTTGTACGCAAAATTATGAAAATCATTACCAAACCGGCTCGGGACTTCCTTATTATCAAGGTCAACCCTATCAAAAGGGCTATGGTCTCGGTGGATTTTTTCGAAGTCTTTTTCGCTCTGCTATGCCTTTATTTGTGAAAGGAGCCAAAACGGTGGGGAAAGAAGCTTTGCGCACCGGAGCTCTCATCGCAAATGATGTGTTAGCTGGTGAAAACATTAAGTCTGCTGCTAAGCAAAGAGCCAAAGAAGCGGGAAAAGTATTAGCGGCAAAAGCTATTCGTAAAGCCCAGACCATGCTTGGTAGTGGTAAGTATAAAAGGAAGCGGAAAACAGTCAAAACCCTTCATTTCTCCGAAAGCTGTGAAGCAGAGAAGACGTGATATTTTCGATTCATAATGGCTTTTATCATGAAAGATTCCCCTGAATGTGTTAAATCCGAATTAGAACTTTTTCATTTACCTGGAACTCAAACGGCGATTCAGAGCGGCCAATGGGTTCAGTTTCATCCTCTATCTAATGTATTTGACGGAGGTCCCGTAGAATTTCATATTTCAGGCAGTGGAGAAGATTATATTGACTTGTCACAAACACAACTCTACGTGAGAGCAAAAATAGTAAAAACGGATGGGTCACTTCTGGATAAAGATGCCAGCATCGGCCCAGTAAATTTGTTCCTGCATTCTTTATTTTCTCAGATGGATGTCACACTGAATGAACGACTGGTGTCTTCTAGTAACACATACCCCTATAGAGCTTATATAGAAACTTTGCTCAATCATGGCTATGATAGTAAAACTTCAAAGCTCACAGCTGAAATGTATGACAAAGACCTAGAGAAGAGATCTTCCTTTTTTAAACTGAGTTCTACTGTTGATATGATTGGTGGCATTCATTTTGATTTATTTTATCAAGAAAGTCTTTTATTAAATATGGTGGATGTTAAATTAACTCTCGTTAGAAGCAAGCCTGAATTTTGTTTACAAAGAAAACCTCTCGAGCAAACCGTGTGTGTGATTATCTTTGCAGAATTTGATAACGCGATTGAAATTAATAAGTCGAGGAACATCATTTTTGACTTTAACTGATGGATGGTCGTATTATACATGACATTTTATCTCGCGAAGCAGCCGCTGTCTTTCGAGGAGTTTATCCAGCAGATAAAATACCTCCTTTAAATGGAACATCAGCCATTGTTGTGAATACAGACAAGTCCACAGAACCCGGAGCGCACTGGGTAGCCTTTTTTCAAGATGAAGAATTAGAATTTTTTGATTCTTATGGACAATCTCCAGACCTTTATGGATTTAAGTATTCAAATGTGAAATGGAATAATATTCCATTACAGAGTTTAACTTCTAATGTATGTGGTGCATATTGTATTTATTATGTACTGAAACGAAGCCAAGGCCAATCTATGTATGCCATTATTGAAAACTTATGTAAAATGAGTGATTTTAACCTGTACCAATTTGTGAAAAAAAACTTATGGTGTAAGAATGATTTTTAAACAATAAAATATTGGAAATGTATTTCTTTCTTTTGTTTTTATTTTTTCTGATTGAACAAATTTTTCAACTTATAACAGCATGTTGAGTTTTAAATAATGAACCTTTTTCATGTTAAGAAAAACACAAATTCAACAAACAACAAAGAAAATTACCTTTTCGACATAAAAAAAAATCTATATAAATATTTTTCGACTTTGTTAAATCAAAGTGTAACTTTTTCCCTTGACACTTTAAAATTAACATGGGTTGCCCCATAGACAAAATAAAAGTGAAGATTTTTCTCCCTAAAATAATTAAAGTGAAATTTTTTCTACTTAACTGAAATTTTTATCTTAGAAAAAATGTAAATAAAACTTTTCCGTCTTCGAAATTATCTTTTTAGTCGTCATCATTATTTTTAAATTCAGGAAAGTATCTAATTTCTAAGAACACAATAAAGACACATGTATTAAGTTAACACTGTTTTATTTAATATCTAATCCATACATTTCTTCGAGCATACATGACATTTAATTTGTTATGAACATCATACATAGTAGGTAAACCTAATTCTTTTAGCACAGCATAAAATTGGTTTTCGCCAACAACAGGTTTTTTCTTTTTCTTAAAAAATTATTAATGAGAGTCACAACATCAGTCCCTGGAACGACTTGATTCTGATAAATGAGTTCACCTCCAGCTGAAATATGCTTCTTCACATGAGGATAAATGTCTTTTGCTTGAGACTTGTATTTTAAAGGAGCCACATTCACAACTTTTTTCTCAAATGGATCTTCCATAGGAATTTCTTCTTTCTTCACCAAAGTGTCTTCTTTCTTTTCCATAGATTTCTCTGTTTTTTCAACGGGTGGTATAATTGATACGTAATATATTTTTGGAGCACTTGCAGGTATAAAGCTGCTTTCTCACTTTCATCAAGGTCTTTCTTCTTTAAAATTCGATCCATTTTTTCATGCAGTTCGGTAAGACCGTTTGCCTTCTTTCTTCTGGTACAATGAGAAGTTTTTTTACTGAACTCCATGAATAAGAGAATTAATGAGAGAAATAGCAGCAGGTAAGAGTACACTTAGGAAACCTTCCCCTCTTTGTACAAGCAGGCTTCTTTTCTTATAAAGAGGTACTTTTTTATTGGCAAGTTTTCGTAAACTTCGCTTGTAAGGTGCTAATTGAGCCTTTCGCTTGGGGGAAATGGAAAGATGACCTCGAAGCAAGTTTAAGGCACACTCGCATATAGTTTTTATGACACTATTGGGGCACTTTCGAAGCAAATCACTTGAAAATTTACTTTTCGCGATGAGTTTCAACTGTTCTAACTGGTGCTGTGAACAGTTCGACATTTTGTACACAAATGACAGGAAAGAAAAATGTTTGGCTTTTATAGAGTCTACGAAGCATGCATAAGCGTCGGCTTTTTGCACAGCACAGTGTGAAAAATTCTTCACATGCAAATAAGGGCAGACTATTTCTCCTGGAGGTAGGTCACAAAAACGGGGACAGTTAATATCATCCAAATTAATCACTTCTTTTCTCGTATATTTTTGGAAAACTTCGATCACCACAGACATGTTCACTCGTTGACAGCTCACCAGCAAATGACTAGCGAGGTTGATAGACGTAGTATTTATCGTTTGGAAAAAGCCCTGTTCTCAGACGCATGGAGTCAGATTTGAGGTCAACCAGTAAATAACTGTAAGGTTTAGATGTAGCATCCTGATACACTTCTTGAAAAAACTTGTTCTTTCCTGGATATAACTGCCTTCCCAGATGCATAATTTGAGACTTGTCTCTTGTATTTTTAAAGAGCACTAAATAATTAGCGTTCAAAGACATTTCCCGAATACCTTTATGAAACAAATTTTGTACAATGAAAATAACACTAAGATTTCGATGATGAGATCCTTTGGTAAATAACTTGGTCAATCTTACATCATTTCCGAGTTCCGACATAAGATCATCAATAATAATCAGAGAATTTGATAAAGTGTGGATGTTTTCAGGCAAACCATCACAAAATTCGATATGATTCATCTCATCGTAAAGACTTTGATAAGCACCATAGCACCAAATAATTTTAGGAGGAAAAGGAGTGATCATTTGATGGTCCATTAATTTTTTAATAAACATGGTTTTTCCGCTACCACTAGGACCAGCAGCTAACATCGTAAAAGGATGCTTTAATTTTAAGAGTTCCATCTTAACTAAAGTCTTATTCGAAAAACAATTCTATTTATAGCTGTTGCTCACTTTTGTGAAATAATCGATTAATGATTCACGTAAAATTCAGATTTCATTAATACTTTTGGAAAATGTAATTTTTTAAAGAAAAACTATACAGTTCATGCAGTGAAAAATATAATGTTTATTAAATACTTAGAAAATCTTTATCAATTTCTCTTCATAACATATAGATTATTTTGCTTTCTAATTTTTCAAACAATTATACAGAAAAAAAAATTTGGCTAGAATAAATATTATTAAACTCATCAATGTTGATTATATACAATAGCTGCTAAAGAATATGTACATGATAAATAATTACGAAACAAAATGAGAAAAATATATTATTTACAAAGAAATAGAGCAATTTTTATATACTAATTTTATAATGCCCATGGGCAAGTGTTGAAATCCCATTGTCCAAAATATACCGTTTCGTATCGAAAGGACATAATGTTGATTTAGTATAATGTACAGTTTGTAATTTATGCCATTTACTGGCTATTCGTTGAGCTGGGGTGAGTCCACGATTGTTATGAAGGAGACACTGCTTATAGTCCGTATGACGAATATGATTTTTTACAATACCTCTGGCAACACCTTTGGCCGTCTTCTTTTCAGTGAAACTACTCAGAAGACTGTACATCTTAGGTTTAAGTCCCACAAATTCTTGAGCGATATCACCGGCTAACTCGTCTTTCATCTTCCCAAGCACTTTCTTGTTTATTGAGCTAAAGAGAGGATGATCTTGCGGATATTCAGATGTATCAAAGAGGTGGAGATCTTTCTTCATATCCGCATAGATATCTTTAGTTTCCACCACATAACAGAGGCTGTCTGTATCGGTAAAAAGTAATGTGGCCTTAGCTCCATACTTAGGTTTAATATACTCATAATGGAACGAGTACATGAGGGTTTTTGATATGTCCAAAATACAGAAACCCGTGTAAAGAGGGCGGTTCAGTACCAGAGAACTTTTCCTACGTTCTATAACTGCTAGTTCTTCTGTGATCTGATGAAATGCATAGAAACTTGGTGAAGCCACAAGTTTTTAGCTTTCTTCTCCTCCGTAACTAGATCAATTCGTGTTCTTTTTCGAAAATTTTCCATTGTTTTTCCGAAAACAGCATTGTTAAGAAGCTTGAAAAGATCTTTTTCGAAGCTTGTTTTGGCCCGTTTCCGTTGCTCTCTGTTAAATGCGATGTAACTTTTTAACCATGGAGATTGTTTGAATTTAAGTACTCTATGAATTTTAGTGACTTGGAGACCCAAGGACACATATAACTTTAAGTTTCTGTAATGGGGGACGTAACGTTGCTTAGAGAAAAGATTTGGAACTAGCTTCACACTCTTACCAAGGATGAGTTGGAACTTCTTTGCTAAATTTTGAGAATAATTAGACAGCATTTTCTCAGTGACTTGCATCTGTTCTGGTGCAAGAGGTTAATCATTATGGAGGTCATGCAGCTCTGCCGGATATTCTAAGTCTACTTCTAAGATGTAGCCCTCATCTGCATCGTCCGAGATATTCATGTAATCGATGGGTTCATTCACCCATTCGAACCCGTGCGTAGGAAGTGACTGACTCATCGCCCACCTAAAAAATTAAAAAAAATATTTAATGAAAGCATACGAACTATAATTTAAAAAAAAAAGAGAGAGAGAGAGAGATTGCTAAATAATAATTACCCATAAAGGTTGTTAGCATCTAAATAAATGATATAGTTAGAAGGTTCCTTTGGATCGTAGTTCGGTAGGTATTTGTTATTAGCAACAGCCAGACGATGTGATATCATTGAGATGCCACCACGAATTCCCCGCTCAATAAACAAATGCTGATCCAGGTCCATTAATAGTTCCAGGCTAACTCCACTCATCTTCAAAGCAGCTTGCCAAGCTAATCCTGGAGCAGTGTAAAAATGTGCTGGATCGAATTGATAGAAGTTGAGACTCAGGCGGCGGAAATTTTCAAAGACATCGGCTAAGAGAAGGACCTCACAAACCACATACAAATCATGGTATGTACCAAGACTGGTAAGACCAAAGGTTTTCCAAATGGTCATGGCATGCGTATAATCTTCCTCGCTGATGTGTTGTTCTGCGAGATTGGAATAAAATGCAGATGGTGGAGGTAGTTCAGACTCATCGAAACGGGAGAAAGTCATCAATATATTCATAAGGATAGACACCTAAAAAAAGCAAAATATATATATATATATATATATATATATATACACTCGTATATAAACATTCATGTAACAAATATTAAACATTCTAATAAATAAGAAAAATAAATGTTTAAAAAATTTACCTTTTCTAAGCAGAAGATTCGTTTTCTCTCCAAAATAGGCCCGTGTGAGATGGAATTGGTCCTTTTCTAGATTCGCAACGAGCTTCTCTAAGCTGGCTCTATGACCTGTCAGATGATTATGATCACGGACCTAAAACAGAAAAAAAGGTATGAAAAATCATACCAAACTTTGTTATAATTATTGATATCACAAAAAAAATAATCCAAAAAATTTACCTTATCACCTTTCAGAGCCTGCCCACAAATATGACAATGAGTGGCTGTTTCATACATAACTTGGTCTTCTTTGGTGAACATCATTGGTTCATTTGTCTTCAGTAGTTCTGTTAAATTCTCTTCCTCACGAATAAGAGCAGCTAAGAAATGGTCGACGGCATCTCTTCCTCGGTAGATACTGGAGCTTTATAAAATTCACCATTCGGTCCAATAATAGTATAACAATATCCGGATGCTGTATGGTTGGCAACAGGAGTAGTTGAAGACCTTGATGGAAAACAGTGGCAAACAGGTGGCTTGCTTCACTAAAATGCATTCAAAATCGGCGTAAATAAAGTAAGGGATGGGAAGCTGGAACTGGGACTTGTCAAATTTCAACCACTTATCTTTAGGCATTTTAATTTTTTGGGGACCGTGCACTTGACAGTCTTTTACATGAGCGTCCAAAGTCTCCTTCCTTTTGAATCTGTGAAGGCAATAGTCACAATAAAATTTTTCATTCTGATCTTTCGTGAGTCCGGCAAGAAGACGAGACATGTTCTTAATAAGACAATAATGTCTCTTCTCATCATCCGAAATTAATAAGAGGTTGATATGACGATCACCTACAAAAGAGAAAATTGTCAATCAATAAAACAATTCAACAACGCAAGAAAAAACATGTCTGTTAAGAGTTACAAAATAAGAATAACTTACCGTTTCGACTCTTGGTGATCCGAAGAGGTAAAATCTCGTTGCTTTCCCAACCGAACACGTTGATCGATAGATTGTTCATTTTTTCAAATTTGTCTAGCTGATGAATGGGGGTGGGAAAAGACAAGCCATCCACTTTTATTTCCCCTTCATAGGGCTTGTAGTGAGATACTCTATATGCATGTTCTCTATGATCTTCGATGGGGTAAAGGGCTACTAACACGCTCCAGACGAGACATTTGTGGTCTTAATTTTGTATATTGAGAACAGCCATTTTACCTGCTAAGGCTTTCGGCAGAGGTATATAAGAAGAGGCTGCCAGGGGTTTGTAGACAGCGGTCTTGAGCTCCAGGTATTGCACGGAGTCCAGAACCTTTTTTCAAAAATTTATCCATAGAATCCAGCACCTATAAAATTAAAGCATTTTATGAGTATACTAATTTTTATTTTGTGCACTGTATATATATAATTCATATAAAATAAAATTTCCTTACTTTCTGAATAGCTGTCTGTATATCAGGTATTTCTCCTGTGAGGGTAGTACTGCACTTTGATCGAAAGTAGGCCGTGCAAGTTTCTTCCTCGGTCTCCGACACTTTTCTGATCATTTGCACACAAGCATTCAAATACCATTTAATTCCCTGGTGTTGTGCGGCAGCTTCTTGAATCTTACCCGCGATTTCAAATTTTATTGCCTCTAAAAATATTTGCAGATCTGTCTTGGTTTCTTCACTGGGATAAATGATTTCCGTAGCAAAGGTACCAAGGCAAGGCGGGCGTTCTTGTCGTGGTCGTTTACGGGCAGGCATAGCGGGGGATGTTGCTGCTTGTTTTACTGGGCGAGATGGCCAGGGCTTCGGTGGTCTAGCATGAACTTTCATATGATTATTCAGTTTATCGGAACGTTGAAAGATCTTTTGGCATATGGAGCAAATGTAGTTACCTACTGAATGCTGAGTCTTTATATGACGAGTTAAATTGGTCCGTAGGGTGAATGTTTTCCAACAGTGTGGGCATGTAAGATTATCATCAAATGTATCATCTAATTGGGAGGGCCTCAAATCACCAAAATCCATGATGGCAATCGTGTAATCATCTAAAGTCATGTCTTCATGTTCAAAAACATATTCAGGATCCATATAAAAATATAAAATTACCAAATTAAGTTTCATAATTCAAAAATTCTCAAACATACGATTTTTAGAAAAGAAAGATACTTACGCTGCCTTTTGTGGCTGAGCATCCTCATTATTTAATTAAACAAATAAAACTGACCAGGAAAGTTAAAATAATAACTTAAATCTAATTACAATGATATAGAAACTAACTTAAAAACATTATTTGATGGTTAAATAAAAAAGAATAGAAAGTGTAAATCATCAATTTAACCAAAGCGATAATATTGACATGAAAACACAGGTAATTTAACTAAGATTTACATTAGGAAAAATGACGCATACTACAGATAATTTAAAGAATACAGTAATATTCACGTGAAAATATAGAGTAAGTTAAAAAAAATTTTTTTAACTCAGAATTATGTGCATTAGGTATCATATTTTGCTAAAATCTCGATAAATTAATCTATAAGCAGGGGAAAATACAGAATAAAATTAATCTAAAAGAGGTATCGAAAATTAATTACTTACAATAAAATGAAATGGGTTCAACTAAAATAGTCACTAGGAAAAATTTGAAAAATGAAGAAGAAATTATCAAAACCATACAGATAATATATATTGTTGAATAATATATGTAATAATCTAATAAAAACAAACAAACTATATATTTAATAAAAATAAATAAACTTCTAATAAAAATAAACTAAATATTAACATGGAATACAAACGTGAACAAGATGTACGATAAAAATACTTACCTCGAATAACACGTCTTCGTTGAAACAGGAAGGGCGAAAGCAGGAGCGAAGTATACAACGAATTGGCTTGAGCAGAAATGGCCCTCAGGGGCTCACTTTTGTGAGTACGGGTGTGGCAATCCCGAGGTACCCTAGCCCTTCAGGGGATCATCTTCTTGGTGAGACGGGTGTCACGATCCTGGAGCCCCAGTGATCTATCCTCTTTTCCGTCTCCTCTCCTCTTGGCTGGATCCTTTTCCCTTCCCTTCTCCCTTGTGGTTTCTCTCTACGGAGTTTGGGGCTTGTCACGAGAGGCTGGAACAGACCTTGTCTCTAGTTCTCGAGTGGCGAGAAAACTGCCCACGTGTTTGCCGTGCGTGGAGACCCGTGTCGCTGGAAAGGAGGGTCCTGGTAGTTGAGGGGCGACGTACTGTCCCCAACACACTGCTTTGGCCTCTGCTTCAGCTAAACGGGAGGCACCTTAGTCGTCCTCACGGGTGTCAATCGGCTGGTCACTAGTCCTTGTGTCAGTGGCTTGGGGTCAAGCTCTCGGGAGTACCTGCTTTCGGGAAAGCCGACTGTGGGGCTTCAGTTTGCGTATAGGTCCGGCTAGCCCTAACACAGGAATCTGTGTTCCCTTGTTGGGCTCCGTGGTGGACGGGGCCGTCGGACCCGAATCTTTTCTTATTTCAATATGGCTAATTCTCAAATTTTTTCTGATCAAAGACTTCGAAGTCACTCCAGTCTCTCAACCTAGTTCTGAAACGTTTACTACTAAACCAGTCACTCAACCTAGCTCTGAACCACCTACTAATAAACCAATCATTCAACCTAGTTCTGAAAAGTCTACTACTAAACCAGTCACTCAATCTAGTTCTGAAAATTCTGCAAAAAAATTACGGACAGATGCAAATAAAAATAATCATAACAATAGTCCCCGTTTCCTAGTCATCTCTAGTCCTTCTGGCGAAATGCATAAGATGCCTCCTTTCGTGATTAACAATTACATCCAGTCTTGTATTGGTGAGTCGAGAAACATAAAGCGTCTCCGCTCCGGAGACTTCCTTATTGATACAATCTCAGCCACCCAGTCTGCTTCTTTACTTCAAATAACTAAACTTGGGCAAGCGAATGTCAATGTAACAGCACATAAGACACTGAATTATTGTCGTGGCGTTATATCGGAATTAGAACTTCTGTATGTTCCTGAAGAAAAGATCGCTTCCGAGCTATCCGACCAAAATGTCTGCGGTGCTAGGCGGATCAAGATGCGTAAGGAAGGTAAGTTGATCGATACGAAACACGTGATCCTTACCTTCAACACGCCTGATCTGCCTAAGAATATTAAGGCTGGATATTTAAATTGTCCCGTAAGACCTTATATTCCCAACCCTATGCGATGTCTTGTCGTGGCAGCCTCACATGCGCCCGATGCTCACAGATTGGCCACGATTCTGAAAATTGTACCGCTGCGCCTCTTTGTATAAATTGCAAGGGTGAGCACCCAGCATTTTCACGCCTCTGTCCAAAATGGAAATTAGAAAAAGAAATGCAGACTGCAAAGGTTACGAGGAACATCTCATATGCCGAAGCCAGAAGATTAGTCCAAAGCACACAGCTACGACCAAATACATCTTACGCCAATGCTCTTAAAAAATCTCGCTCAGTTGCTACCCAAACATCAGTTAGTATGCAGACGCCACCAAACAAAACTCAACAGACTACAAACAACAAGAAGAAAGAAAACCCAACCCATACAGTACAAAATAAAGAAATAGTAATTCAAAGCAAACCCAAAACTACCAACACGAAAAGAAACAAATAAAAATAGAAGTTCCAGGCAATAGCTCTCTTGATGGAATGGTTTCTGAATCTGCGGATTCAGACGGTATGGAAGTAGAAGAGGGTCTGGAAGTTCCCAAGCATCTACTTCCACGAAAAACCAAACAAGAGCACAGAAAGAACAAAAACTATTCATAATGGCCACCCTCGTATCATGGAACTGTCGTGGTTTCCACCGAAATCTGCTCGACATCAAAGCTATAATCAATGTTCATCAACCTTTATGCTTCGCAATACAGGAAACAAATCTAAAACCGGAACAACAAGCAAAACTTCGGAGGTTTTCTTTCGTCAGGAAAGACAACATTGCAGGTGAGCGTGCCAGTGGAGGTGTAGGTCTCCTCACCTCACTGGATTATCCCTCAAATGTGCTTTCTTTGACGACATCCCTCCAAGTTGTCGCTACTCAAACAAATTTTGATTTTGTTGTTACAGTCGTTTCTCTGTATTTGCCTCCAAATGAGCATATTGATCAGCAAGATTTAAATGGTCTTTTAGAGCAGCTGCCTGAGCCTTTCATCATAATAGGAGATTTTAACGGCCATAGTCCGCTCTGGGGTAGTAAGGATACTAATTGCCGAGGAAGACAAATTGAGCAGATGATCGAAGATCATAGCCTTTGTCTCCTCAATAATGGGCAAGATACTTACTTCCATGAGCCTTCAAAAACATTCCATGCTCTCGACCTTGCCATCTGTTTACCATCTCTGTTGCCTTTTTGCACTTTTAAAGTGGGTAAATGATCTTTACAACAGTGATCATTATCCCATTTCTTGTGTCTCCTTGCACGAAGAGGAGCAAAACCCCATGTCGAGATCCCCTCGGATTCATACTGGACAGGGCAGACTGGGAACTCTTCTCTTCCATTGCAGAGCTCACAGATGAAATGGTAGAAGATGCGCATATCGATGACGCTGTTGAAGCTGTTACTAATACTATTATTCAGGCAGCTATGCTCTCCATTCCTAGAACATCAGGAAAACTACTAAAAATATTCAAAACCATGGTGGAATCGCGACTGTCATGAAGCACTGAAAAAACAGAAAAAGCATGGGGTATTTTTCGTAGATATCCTACTCTGCGAAACCTCATAGCCTTTAAAAGAGCCAAAGCAAATGCACGAAAATGTAAGAAGGCAGAGCCAGAGGGATTCTCTGGATTTCATATGTGTCGTCAATAACATCCTCCACGCCTAGTAAGCGGGTTTGGGAAAGAGTTCGAAAAGCATGCGGCATATATAAAGACCACTCACATTCCTTTTTGGAAAAAGATGGCCGAGTGATTAGCTCCATAGAAGAAATTGCGAATACTATCGGTGAGACATTTGCTTCCGTTTCTTCCAGCAGAAACTATACACCTGCATTTCTTTCTATGAAGCAGCACTCTGAAATAAATCCCATCGCATTCAACTCTTCCAAATCTGAGCCTTACAATAGAGACTTTACTATGCTTGAATTAAGGAGTGCTTTATTGCAGACACATAGGTCTTCTCCGGGTCTTGATGGAGTGAATTATGAAATGCTAAAGCATCTGTCCTGTAAGTCACTGAATGCCCTTCTCACTCTTTACAATAGGGTGTGGAAGGAGCATGCCTTTCCCAGTGCATGGAGGAGAGCTATTGTCATTCCTATTCCTAAGCCAGAGAAAGATCCAAGGAATCTCTCCAACTATCGGCCAATTGCCCTTACGAGTTGCCTCTGCAAACTGTTTGAAAAGATGGTAAACAGCCGCCTAGTCTACTTGTCTACTTCTTGGAAAAGAATGATATTATATCGCCATATCAGAGTTGTTTTCGAAAGGGAAGAACAACTGTAGATAACATGCTCCTCTTAGAGACATCTATTCGAAAAGCATTTGTAAGAAGAAGCCACCTTGTCTCGATATTCTTCGACATTGAAAAGCTTATGATAAGGCATGGAGATACGGTATACTCCGGGATCTTCACGAGAGTGGCTTGCGCGGCAACCTACCAATTTTCATTCAAAATTTCTTGAACACTAGAACTTTTCAAGTAAGGATTGGCTCTGTTTTTTCGGATGTTTTTAAACAGGAAGAGGGTGTGCCTCAAGGCTGTGTGCTCAGTGTAACCCTGTTTAGTTTAAAAATAAATTCTGTACTAAAAGAACTTCCTCCCACCATCTTGGGATCTCTATATGTTGATGATCTGCAGATTAGCTGTCAAGGAGCAGACATGAGATATGTAGAGAGGCAACTGCAGATGGCTCTGAATAAGATCCAAGAATGGTCAGACAAACAGGGATTTACATTTTCGAAACAGAAAACTGTGTGCGTGCACTTTTGTAGGAAGCGAGGTCTCCATCCTGAACCTGAGTTATATCTAAATGGTACAATTATTCCAGTTGCGCCCGAAGTAAAATTTTTAGGAGTGACGTTCG